ACCATATTTTTCCAAAACCCCATTTTCAACTTTTTAAAACAATCCCCCACATTTGTTGGCTATTATACGACAGGACGTAGGCACCCAAAACATTTTTGAAAACCATTTGTTTTTTCACTTTTGCTGGTTGTTACACAGCAGGACTATGTGGACACCCAAAAATTATTTTTCCACTTTTGCAGGCTATTATACGGCAGGACTGTGTGGACACCCAAAAACATTTTTCTCACGTTCGTCTAGCGATAAGCCTAGATAGGGCAATTGGGCACCTTGAATTCAAACTACCCCCACGTTTACCGGCTATTATACGGACGATCGTGGGCACCGAAACACCATTTTTCAATTTTAAAACCATCTCCCACATTTGCAGGCTATTATACGGCGGGACATGGGCCCCCAAAAGCCTTTTCGACTCCCTGCGCTGGTACCAACCACGACACAACCCAACACAACTCAACTCTACACAACACAACATAACTCAACCAAACTCAACACAACCTAGCTCAACTCAACACACAACATAACCCAACTCAACTCAACACAACATAATCCAATACAATTCACATAACACACAACCATTTCAACACAAAGCTTGTATCATCTATACCATTAGTAATGTTTTTCCCCTCAGTTTGGTTTCATATTATAACCTAATTTAAAACATCAATATTAAGAATTCCATCGTAACTTTTACCTAAATTTTTTAAACTCTTTAACATTTCAATTAAACTTGTACATGTGTAATTCAACACCTCAATTTCGTGATTCTACTATCAATTGAAGCAAAACCATTAACCATCTTCATGAGCCAAACTAGGGTTTTTAAGAGAAATTAAAGTTTTTCACAAAAACACATTTTATTCCAACCCTTCTATTACTTTTACACCCAAGCTCATGACCCAAGATCATAACCCAACAAGTAAACCCAACTCTTTTCAAACCCTAACTCCCAATCTCATGATTCATCACAATATGCATAAAAATATAAACTTTTGTATTTATATAAAGAAAATACCACAAATCTATCTACAAATGAGGGTATTGAAAGAAAACTAGAAACCCCTACCTCTTGAAGCAAGGAGATGACAACCCAAAATTCACCGACGACAAAATCACGAACTATTTGAACCAAAATGAAGCCCTTGACGAGATCTATACTCTTTCTCAAAGGACCAAGGTGAAAAGATCACTCTAGGTGAGTAGATTTAGAAATTTAAGTGAAAAAGTTTGAGCTTTAATTAGAGAAAGAGAAGAAAACTCACGGTTTGAGATAGAGGAAAGAGGAGAAAAAGTTAAATGAAAATATGTTTCGAGCCTATTTATAGTAGTAGAAAAGTAGCCCTAAGATCAATAAAATAATAAGTCCAAAACCCCCCAAAGGTAGGGCCCATTCGGAACCAAAAATTTGAAAATAAACACGTAAGGGTCGACCCTTGGTGTGGTGGTGTCGACCTAGGGGTCTCCCCTTCAACAAGAAAAGACAATGCTGGCAGCAAGCAAGGTGTCAACACTTCCCAGACTGGTGTTAATACCAAATTTCAGCTAGCAACTTCCAGGTTCAGCAATATACAAGGGTTGACCCTTCTCGGACTGATGTCGACCCTTGTGGACAGCAATAAGAGACAGGTGTCGACACTACCAAGGCTGGTGCCGACCCTAAATTCCAGCAACACTTCCAGAAATTTCATTAACAGGTAAGGGTCGACCCTTAGGAAGGCTAGTGTTGACCCTAGAACAAATTTTCCAAGTTCGCAAGGAACTTTTGACAAGAACAAGCGCGAACAAACAAGCCCAGCAAGTCTAAATCGAATTATACTCCTTTAAATTAAGGTACAACAACTCCAAAGACTCCCAAAATGAAAATGAAGGAATCAAATACATTCTCCAATAATTTAAAGGACACAAAGTGTTAAAAGAAACAAATTGCGACTAGACATGGTGCATTGACGTTGCTTTAGCCAGAGATTGCCTTGGTGTACAAAAGAACTTTGCTTTAAACCCCCAGCCCCAGTGACCCTCAGTGCCGCGTGTCGGCCTGGGGGTGGCTGGAAACTCAAAAAAAAAAAAAAAAAAAAATTGTTTTTTTGGACCAATGGGAAGGGACCCCCAACACCCCCACTGGGGGTCCGAAGCTTTATTCTAAATTAAGGGGAAGATTATGGTACTATCTCTTAAAGAGCATGTACTATAATGTTTAAATTTTATATTTTGATAATTTTTTAAAAATTAGTATACTATTTTATGAAATTGAATAGAATAAATTATTAGATATATAATAAAATTATGTGGTATGATATGTATTATATTTTGATTTGTTATACACCTAATGATGTGTTCCTTCCGAATTTATTAAAAATAAAATAAAATTATAGCATGTACATTTCCTCAATAGATAAATATAAAACAAATATTAAAATAATTCTCCCATCTAAAAAAAACTACTAAGATAATTCACTGAACTAATAAAGAAACAAAAGAAAGTACATATATATACAAATGATTAATTTTATTAATACATAAATCGTACTCGTATAATAAATGACTAATTTTATTAATAAGTAAATCATTAAGTAAATTAGCAATTTTTAATGATATGAAAAATATTTTTCAGTTAACCATTTTGTTAATAAATAAATCATGAAGTTAATTAACAGTTTTAATTATATGAGAAATAGTTTTCAATAAACAATTTGGATAATTTATTATTGCATAGGAGAATGATTTTTTTTTCCTGAGTATTGTGTTAAATTAAAATTTATAACAAACAATAGTTATAATTTCTAATATTATAGAACCGATTCATATTTTAAACAAATCTTATGATGTATTTGTAATTTGTTAAAAAATAGAAGATTTATGTTTCACAATTGACTAAGAATGTTTGTGTAATTACGAAAAAACTTATTTCATAGTTGACTAATAATGTTCGCGTAATTACGAAAAAAACCTATTATATAATTGACTAAGAATGTTTGCGTAAATACGAAAAAAATTTCACTCAACATATATGTCACTATTAGTAAATTATTCAAAATGAAAGGACAAAATTAAAAAGAAAAGACGAATCTCAAGTAGCTAAGCGATTCTTTAATGTATATATATATATAGATATATCTTCTAATTAAACAATATGTTATGCTTTTAAATTATTAAAGCACCACAATAATTCAAAACCCCAAGTCTGCTTATGCTATTTGTGAAGGTACAAAATAATAATAATCATAATGCAAAGATTGTGAGTTTGTTAAAAAGCACAAGAGGCCAAACCAAGTCAATTAAAGCAAAACCCCACATCCGTAATCACCTTCAAGACATTAATTATATATATGTGTACGTATGTATAATTTTAACATTTATTTTACGATGGTATTATATGCATTAATTAATATATATATATATATATTAGTGTATCAATTATTATTATGTCATTATTACTAACTCCACCTATTATATAAATTACAAATATCCAAAATCTCTAAAATTATGTTATATCATCTATTAGTATATTAGTTACTACATTAATTGGTACATATAGGATACATAATCCAACGGATTGGTAGTCATAGGACTATTAGTCATGGGAATACTAATCCAGTCCGCCCAAACAAACATGGCCTTAGTGTATCAATTATTATTATGTCATTATTACTAACTCCATCTATTATATAAATTACAAATATCCAAAATCTCTAAAATTATGTTATATCATCTATTAGTATATTAATTACTACATTAATTGGTACATATAGCATTCTTCTTCATTTTAGGGGTGAGATTGGCTAAGATGGGAGAAATGAAAAGGGAGCAACTTGCCCCCAGTCCGGTGTTGTTCGGCCTGTAGGGGCCCACCACGGGTCCCGTTTTGATAATCTGAATTGTACAATGTGTAAATCTCGTCGAGTATTATATGCATATAAAAAATCACATTGATTGGATATCGATAGTTATGTGATTAAATTAGTTTTGTATAAAAAAAATGAACGGTGAACAAACTAACTATTGACAAAAAACTAATCTGATGAAATAGCTATCAATATCCGATTAACGTGATTTTTTACAAACATATAGTACTCGACGAGTTCTACACATTGAACAGTTCGGATTATCAAAACTGGACCCGTAATGGGCCCTCACGGGCCAAACAATACCATTTAGTCCGATCTCGGACCGGAGACAAGCTGCTAAATGTGTGAAAACTAAAAAATTTTAAACTTTTCTATGTCTGTTTAATATGCGAGTGGTAAAAAGTGTCTAAAAAAGTTTTCTGCATAATTCATATTAATATGGTAACTGAATTCAGTTTATTGCAAAAATTAATTTTTTTTTTCCACGTAAAAATAGTCAACTATTATTTCACTTCTCAACACATCGGAGCATTTCCCTTTTTTTATAGTTTTATCAAAAAAATTTAATCTTAACCAATTTAACCAATGTAGGAAAATAATTTTCCCTCACTCCACTTTCAATTGCTTTCACTTCACATTATATTTTTCTCTAACAAATGTCTTGATTTAAAAATAAATTTAAAAAAAAAAACAACCACCCAATTGCCTATTTAAAAAAAAAAAAAAATCACCAAAATGGTCAACACTTTGAGTTCAATATGAACATATGAGAGTTTGGTCCAAGTGATTGTTGTTTACATAGTACCCATAAATAGACCTACAATTTTTCATTTTTAAAAATTCTGGTCACAAATTTTGGATGTTATGGCTACCCAGATGGATCAGAAAACTAACTTTCCTTGAAGAAAATACAAGATTTTATTTGTGCATCAAGCCAATCTAGGCATCTTCTTGTTTTTTCTCATATTGTGTCCTATAAATATGAAAAAATACTCCCTTTGTGTGCGTATCAAATTGTTGCTACTTTATATAGAGTTTTGTCAACACCTCTAAACAGTTGGACACAATCTCTTTTTAAAAATAAATAAATAAATAAATAAATAAAAACCTATAAGCATTGCTGTTCAAATCAAACTGAGCAGGCCAAGAGACAAAGGAGGGAACAAACATTAAATTTCCAATGAGCAAGCAAATTTACACAAAAACATGCAACTTATGCATAGATACTCAAGCTGAAAAACTGCTACATCTGCTTAAAAGAAATAATTCCAATAGATTTGAGAAAGCAAATTCACCTTCCACTGTTTCTTTTCCTCTCTATGTAACCAAAAAAAAAATATATTGAAAAACTAGCTAATTGTGACCCAAAAGATACAGACATGATTGTCATCAAACTCAAAGCAAGAAATCTGGAAAAGACCCCAATGCCCACCATTGCATTTAACCATTTTACATTCTACATATATAGCATGTATACTGAATTTAACTGTGGGAAATCTCATCATTTCCCTCGCTTTGAGATTCTACTGATTCATCTTGGGGTATCTTGTATTCAGAATTTTCCACTCCAAGCAGTGAGACTGCACTAGAATCTTCAGATTCCTTCACATTTTCAGTTTGATGTTGGGATTGACTTTGCGAAACAGACAACGGAGGAGAAGGGTTTGCCACACCCAATCCTTTAGAAAGACAAACATACTTGAAAACGAGTTGTTTGTAATTATTCAGAAGCTGTTCTACGTCGTTGACTGTAAGATCACCGGCCTGAGAAAACAAATACGGGAAATCCTGAAAGATTCGACTTGCTTGATCCTCCTTCAAAAGCATAGATGCCCCTTTATTCTCCAAATCTGTCATGGATGGAACTTCATGTAGTGGCCGCTGATCTTTCCCAGGTGTTTCCTCCCTATTCCTGAATTTCATTTCAGAGGAACCGAGTGAGATCTGAGGTTTTATTGGACGGTCCTGATGCTTCTTTGTATTCAATGCTTCTTGTTTGGGTTCCACAGACAGATTCTCAGAATCAGCTGAAAGGCCGGACAGAACAGAACGAGCAGATTCCATATTCTTTTCATACTCAGTTTCATCCATCGAAATGGAATTTGCATCAATGTTCAAAATGAAAGACTCAGCTGAGAGCATGTTTGTGAAAAAATAGGCTGTTTCTGCAACCAATCGTGATTGGCGCCTGTAACGTTGTATGTATAACAAATTCGAGTGCAGTTGTGGAGGGTTTGCCTGCATGATGCCATTTTTAGAACTCAAGATTAAAATGTAAGATAAAACAGACATTAAACCAAAGAAAATGAAAGAAACAAGGCATTGATAAATGCAAATGTGAAACATTTTAATCAAACCACCAAATTAAAATGTAGTGTAGTTAAGCAAGGAGACAGCCAGCCTTTTTAGTACATCGTTAGCCCTTCCTATTTGGGATGTCAAAAGACATAGTCCTCTTTGAAAAACTGAAGCATAAAATTTTATAATTTTTCAAAACTCTCCCCTTAAAAGTGAATAAAAAGGCAAATTTGGAATCAATGCCTTCTATTTAAATTTGAATGCATTAACTACATATCCCCTTAAAAAGTTGGAACTCCCAAAATGGAAACATTCTAGGATTTTGGGAGTAACATTCTAGGACCAAGAGAGTATTACAAAATATAAAGAAGACTCAACTGAAGAAGAAGACGGCAATGATCTACAGAGACTATTTTTTGGGGTTTGGTATAAGAGTAGAGGGTTCATAAAATTTATGCTTCAAATCCGTCCAATTATAAACTTGGTATAAGGATGCTTACAACGGATCGTATGGCGGATTTTGAGCAAGAAATGTTTCTTTGTTTACTGTTCTAAAAGGTAGAGAGAAGTGTGTATGTAGAAGAAGGGCCAAAATTGGCTCTCTTTTAAAGGTTATCATTATGCTGGATTTTCAGAATTGGCATTGTTGGAGCATTTGGTTAGCAACTAAAAAAGTATTGTTGAGCTTACCAAATAGTATTTTAAACCTGCCAACATTGTCCATAGTTATCAGTTTTGGTTTTCATCTTTTTTTTACTTAGTTTTTCCCTTGAGGTTTCTTTAATAACCCTCAACTTTCTATTTTAACAACTCAAGTCAAGTCAACGGAAGCTACTTGCAGAAATATCTTTTCGTATGGTCTCTAAACTAGATTATGTTTGAGCTTCCTCCTTTGCTTTTTTTAGGGCTGAAATCAGTTCAGGGTCGGTTGGGGTTCAGCCAGTTTTGGCACTGAGCCGATGCTGTCGGTTTGATAAAATCTTGGACCGCACTGACCAAGATAACATCATGAACCGCACCAAATCATTGTTGAACTGTTCGGTGCGGTTCAATGAAAACCGAATGGTTTGGCCCTTCAATTTTGTATACACAAAAAAATAAAAAATCAAAAAATCAAAATCAAAATCAAGACAGTAGTCAATAAAATCCAGCAAACATCAGTAGTTGCTTACCAACAAAAACAAAAAACAATTAACTCAAATCTATAATTTTGCAATCTAAAGATTCTAAACCATTCAATTTGAAACACACAATTATCTCAACCATTCAAATTGAAACAAAACATAATAAATAAAAACTCAACCATTCAATTAGGCTTCTCAAGTTAAGTTAGGATTTTCAAAAAACAGTTTCAAATTAGGTTTTCCAATTAGGGCTTTGAAATTAGGGTTTTCAGATTACGGCTTCCAATTTTAACATTAGGGTTTTAAAAATAGTCAAGTACATTAGGAAAAGTGTTGCCGGTCAGTGAGCCTAAGAGAGCTCAAAGAAGTGTGATAGTTAGAAGCCTGAGGAAGATTCGATATCATCTAAGCCTCTAAGCAAGAATGAGAGATATAGAAGCAAGAGTGGCCTCATCTGCGTCTCACAGTGTGAGATTGAGAGACAGTGAGAGTGAGAGATCAAGAGAGATAGATATTGAGAGATCGAGTCTCTATGCATGTGTGTGAATGTGATGAGAGAGAGAGAGAGAGAGAGAATGAATGAATGAGAATTTCTGGGGCTGGGAGGGGGTAATATCCCATGATTCATGGACAGCTCAGATTTAGTGTAGGTAATACATGTGGATGGCTGAGATTAAAAGCAAAGTTTTAAACGGAACTGGTTCAGTCGGTGGCGGTCTGAGAAAGTGTAAATCAACAGCAAACCGATTATAACATTTTTGGCTTAAAAAAAAATTAACTGACTTCTGGTTTTCTTGGCCGTTCAGTGCTCTTGGTTAAAGTTTCAGCCCTAGCTTTTGTGGCTCTAAACGGAAGCAAACCACTCCTCTACATCAGTATATAAAACCTTTTAAGTAGTTGAACAACTAAGAAGTACGGATACGAACACGCGACACGACATGGATATGATAAGGACACGTTGACACGCCAATTGTAAAAAAATGCAGGACACGATACATGGGAGACACGCATAAAATATATAATTTTGTATATTTATTATATGTTATATATATGAATATATCATTAAAAGATAATAAAAAATACAATATGACACCAATTCCTACAAATTTATATGATTTTTGTTTTATTATTGTATCTAAAATTGTTTTGTTCAAATTTATAATTAGTTTTACCTGTGTCTAATTGATAGACTCGTGTTATAGACACATATGTCCTCCATGTATCCAAAGAGTGTATGGGTCTTCTAAAAAAAAATTAAAAAATAAGACATGTATTGAAGAGTGTCTGACACGTGTTGGGGAAGTGTCCAAAGAGTGTCAGTGTTTTGACATGGATACATGACCTTCTTAGAAGTGTCCGAGCTTCTTAATTGAACAACTTATTATTTCATGTATTTATTATTGTTGATAAGGCTCATCACTAATGACCAATTTCAAGCAAATACCTCAGAAATCCGAGCATTTATTCCTAATTTAAGTTCTTAAAAAGCTTCAATAAATTTCAGCCAGTAAATGCCATTTACATTTCAGCATGAGCTTAAGAAAGATGAACAACTGGCAAACCCAAAATAACCATTGGCCAGTATGATCCTCCATTTTGAAGTGAATTTAATTTTCACAAAGGAAACAGCGCAAAATTTTGATACAAATTACAATAGATTAACAAGATGAAAAGAGCAATAAGGAGCAAGCATGTTGCATAAACAACTTGGCAGGCAGAATGAAGTTAAATAAAGTAACTATGCAACATATGACTCACCTTACCTTTATTGTAACATAAATGAGAACTGGAAGAAATTCATCAGCTCCAGGAGTATTCTCATTCGAAGCAACAGAAGCATTATGCAGTAAGTTATTGATGACTTTGCAACAATTAAGGATACAAACAAGTTTGTCTTTTGGTGCCTTGTACATGTTGATCTTTTGTAGCTCTTTCTGTGCAAGCTGCCAAAAATGTTTCAAGAGCAGATGTAAGCCTTCTCACAATGGGAACTAAGGTAACAATTTATCACCTTAGGATAAGATAATTATTGCTATGAATATTGGAATAGAACCACTTCAGGTAGTAAAGAGAAAAAGTTTGGTCACTACTAACCTGACAAATAAAATAAAAGAAATCACAAATGTCTCAAATATGGTTAGCACTCAAAAAATTGGTTTAATTATCTCCTCCCAATAATGTTGCCAACCAAAATTGACTTGTGATGATTTGAAATATTTCCATGAACATCTCAATACCAAGCCACAGGTTCAATGAAAGTTTTTGAAAATTCATAATGCATCTAAGATGTTAAAACCTATCACCTACTTCACCCACTTAAACCTACTCCACTAAACCTAACCCACTACACCACTACCACCTCACCTACTCCACTAAACCTAACCCACTACACCACTACCACCTCCACTTCACCTACTCCTTACCTACTACACACTCACCCTCTTCTATATATAGGAATCATGAATCATTGTAATTGATATAACATTAGATCAATCAATAATACAATTCTCTATTTCTCTTTATATATATTAAATTTTACATAAGATAATAGGATGCACACCTCAAAATCAAATAAATAAAGACTCAATGTGGTACAAACCATAAAGTTCAAGGAATCAAAGTTTCATGATACATAAAGGGAAATTATAACAAAAGGATGGCATCCAAGTTCATTTTACAAAATAGACCTGCTAGCGAAGGGAGATGCCACTACCCCAATCCCACGTTTTTGGAATTGCGGTCATGACTGGCATCTAGCACCATTGTAGGGCCGACCGCCACCCCAAGGTTTCCCAAAAAAAGACCCTAAAATATAGTAATATTACTTATGAATAATTTAAATTATATAGGCTAACCGCTCGAAGATTTTTTTGATAAATTTAACACCTGTCTCCATAAAGTCAACAATACATGCCATATTGATTATTTTTTAAGTCCACTACATTTTATACAGTATATAAAATATTGTATATAATATATGTAGAGGGGTGGTTCTTCGGTTCATTTGGATGACCCTGAATCCAAACCGACTTGGTCAGTTCTGGGATTGTTGGACCCAAAACCGAACCAAGGTAGTCCCAGAACTGAACCAACCTTACCCATGAAGTCCTGGTTGGTTCAGTTTGCAGATTTTTTCCATTTCCCTTGAGCACTCCAATATATAATATGTAATGGTCTCTGTTTGCTTGGGTTTATGTAATAAAACATTAACAATTGCCTTCACTGTGTTCCTCTACAACCAAATCAAACCAAACCAAACCAGGCCTTAACACTGTGTTCCTCTATAATGTATAAAAATCCCCCCCTCTAGCAACCAAAATATCCACACATGAAGTTAGTATCACTTCATTCATAGAAGGGCTAATAATCAAATTTCATAATAGATATGTAATTCTGCATCTTCTAAAACATTTCTGCATGTGTCCAAAATAGAAAAATCTATATGGCTATAATGCCAACCATTGTCCTTCCCTTATGCCATTGATAGAAAAAGAATTCAATGTGTCACAGAAAAATTCACTTTACACAAGCATTCCTACACTTACCAACCATGATGTTTCATTTTGAAAAGTTGGTTTGATATCCAAATTATCTGGCTGTATAAATTGTTGAATTAAAGCCATCTTTTCATGTAGTTGTTGATCAACTATGACATCATCTGGAACTGAAGCAAATACACGGTTAAATAACTTTGTCATGACATACTTCTCCAGCCCCTGTAATTGAGAGAAATTTATGTGTCATGCCAAAATGTAAACAAAAAGAAAATATAAGAACATTCCAATATCAGCACAATAATTGCAAGAAATTGTATGACACTAAAAATGAAAAGAAAATAAAACTATTTAAGAAAAAAACCTATAAAGTAGATGCCCTACAAAAATAAAGCGATATAAAAAGTTATAAACAAAATTGAAGCTAGTTTCACCTTCATTTTTCCCCCTTTTTCTTCTTGGGATCTAAAGTCCGGACAATGGCCTATGATATACAAAGACAGACGCGGATAATGCATTCCAAGCGAGGATACAAAGACATAGCCATGTGTGTATACAAATGAGCATGAAAGTTCATTATGTGAAATATCTAAATTTATCCTTTTATTGGGTCAAGCTAGCGTGAGGAAAACACCACAGAGAATTCAATAGTGAACAAGTAATCAGATAGGTTTCAGGTAGGTTTTACAATAAAAAATAATTTCTCACTTATTCAGGACAATATTTTTTTTTTGATAAATAAATAAGCTTTATTAAAAGAGCATGTAGATATAATCAGGATCTTTGGGAAGTGCTTTAGTGTTGGACACAAGCATTAGCTCATTAAGTGTTTGAGAAGCCAAATGTAAGAGAAAAACACTGACATACCAAGGCTAATGGCTCATTTGATAATAAAGACAACTACCGTTTATGGACATATATATGACATAAATAAATTATGAACAAGCAACTTTAGTTGTCATTTTTATCTATAACCTTTTTCATTTATAAATCACTAAAAACAATAAATCTTAAGACACCCAATTACAATTCTTACTCTCAAGGACCCAAAAAAAAATGATAATAACCAAACAAGGTTATAAAGAAAAAATTTCTAAAAGTTGTAAAATTTATAATGTAAGACTAAATATTACACACAATTGGTATTGTTATCTTCAAAAGGGGCAAACTGTTGTTGTGCCTATCAACTGTCCTTTTGATCTGTAGCTGACAAAAAAACAATGTAGTATTTGAATTTTGATGTGTGTTACTACCTCAAGCCAAATGTTTGATGGTTCTAATATCAAAGCAAGAAAACTTGTAGATGGTCTTGAATTGATAAAACCCAGCTTGCTTCTGAATCTTGTCTCATTTTCATTGAAATTTAGTTACAAACGAAAGTACCAGAACAATAACCTTGTGATACTTGAACCTAGACACGTGACAAAATCCAAAATATTCCATGTAACTAACACTAAAAGAAGAGACAGTACCAGCACAAGAATGGAAAGCATTGACAATGCGAGGATAACTTCCTAGCTAGTCAGACGTGGATTTAAATAGGACACAGGTTACCAAGCCATGAATATTGACTATAGCAGTTACAACCTGTCCACTTGCTTAAGTTCACCAAGTTAGAGAGTAAATCGTTCCGAAATTTGGTTTCAGATTTGATATCTGAATATAAATGAATAAAATTCAAAGGGAAAACAATCAGATGCGATTGAAGAATATTTGGCCCAATTGAGGGAATTTGGATCCTGAATCCGACAGCAAAGGATAAAATAGCACTGTTTAATATTGTTTATGATTCTAATAAAAATTCAGCTGTGTTGGTAAGTTCAGTTAATGCTCCATAAAGTCTTGAACAAAAACGCAATAACCAATTTGGTCATAGTTGGAAAGTGGAATATGGGGATTTGAAATTTATTCTTATCTTAATTCAAAACCCCAAATTTAAAACCTTTTTAGTTGCTACTCTCCTGGGATAACACTTTGTCTGCTATTATAGTCATGCCCGAGGAACATTTTCCACTGCGCAGGGATAGGGGTAGATGAATGCCCAACAACCTCACACTAGACTTTGTTTTCCTTAGCTTTTGCTCAATTGTTTATGGTGGAGACCTACCATTCATTTTAAAGATTATATGTTGAAGCCATATGCAAAATGCAAGCTCATTTATAATATACAAACTGACTTCTCATAGGTTCAGTTTTCCCTGAAATAACAGTTGGTCAATACAAAGGTTAAGAAAGCTTGCAGGTTTATGGATTTAAAAGATAGAAGAGAGGATTGTAAGACTTTTGGATTGTAAAGTATTAATTTTCTTAGATTAAAAAATGAGCATATTCCAAATTGTCGAAAATTAGTTACAGGAAATTCTGTACAGCAACTGATTAAGGCTTCGAGTGCTAAAGTAAAGGCCAAAAGGATAGAAAAAGAAGAAGACAAATCTTCCACTCATTTAGACTCCCTTGGGCTTCACACTATGAAGCATGGATACTCCAAAAAAAGTTTCGTACGAGTATCAAATATATATCAGATACAGATACGCATCCGATACGGCGGGATACGTATCAAATACGGAAAATAAATATCCATTATATATATATATATTTTTAATTTCAGATACGGAAGGGATACACGAAGGATACGGCAGAATATGCGAGGATACACGAGGGATACGCCAAATAAGTATCCAATTTTTTTTTCTATTTTTTTTTATTTTTATATTTTAATACTCCAAATAAGTATATAATTTTTTATTTTATTTTATATTTATATTTTTTCAATGATCAATACTCTCTGCTCTCGTTCTTCTTCTTCTTCTTTTTTTCCCCCCTTTTTGTGTGTGTGTTTCCGTACACTGTTTTAATGGAAGTGTTTCTTTATCAAATTTTTAATTTTAGGAACTTTATTGTTAGTATTTCGTTATTTAATATGATTCCCTCTCCTTATTTATTAATTTGCTTTAGGTTTTATTTTCATGCATATTACATTATTAAAATTATAAAAAATAATTTTTTTTTACGAATGTATCCCAGCTGTACCCGCATCCTACTTTTTCAGATTTTGACATATCGCCGTATCCATATCATCGTATCACCGTATCACGTATCTGTATCCGTGCTTCCTAGGTTTCACATCTAAAGCCCCTTAAAATGGTTTCCTACCAATGAGCATTCCTGTTTAGCTGGAGATTTAAGCCTAATACAAAGTAACCCAATACAAACGGACATGCCAAGACTTCTATTATAGGAGTAATTACATGTTCCCTTTTAAGGAGCATCTATACCGATTGCCATGAGTATTAATTGAGTATATCACAAAACGATCTAATGAAGGGGGTGAAAATTGAAGTTGAAATACAGGTCGACTCACTTCACCAGCACTCTCCAGTTCCTCCTCTAAACAACCAGCCCAAAGCGAATGAGTCCTGAAGGCCGCTTCCATGTTGCTAAGAAACTCTTGCACCGCAGCACTATCCCTTTCTGGATCAGGAGGGTTGTTCAAAAATGACACAATAAAACTGCAACATGCAAAATGTCCCACTCAGAACTTTTCTTGTGAACAACTTACAATAGGTGCACATATTAGTCTTTGCATGTATCACATGACTCTCAACAATGAAAATAAATTACAATAAGTAAAGACATGGCAAATCTTGTAGCGTTCAACCAGAACCTTGTCTACACAGGCAACATATAAAGATGCTTAGAAAAGTAGAAGGTTATTGACTGATGGTTATGATGTAAACAAGAATTTTTCTTTATTATATTAGCATCTATTTATCAAGTCACACATTTGATTGGATTACTGAGCTCAGAAGCAAGTGAGATATTTTTGCTTTGCCTGCCCCTATGAAAAAAACAGGGAAAAAATGAAGAGAGAAGACCTGTGGCATATGATCAATTCAACTATTGTTCCCCCCATGATACAGGTGTTGAGTTATTCTAGATGTGTAAGAGCATCTCCAATCCTTAGCCAAATCTTCCATCAAATTTAAATTTGATGAAAATTTTGGTGAAAATGAGATCCAATTCTTTAATCAAACTTGTATCAAATCAAGTTTTCACCAAATCCTCAAACCAAAAAAAAAAAAAAAAAAGGTTTTCACAAAATATTTCATAGCATCTATTTATCAAGTCACACATTTGATTGGATTACTGAGCTCAGAAGCAAGTGAGATATTTTTGCTTTGCCTGCCCCTATGAAAAAAACAGGGAAAAAATGAAGAGAGAAGACCTGTGGCATATGATCAATTCAACTATTGTTCCCCCATGATACAGGTGTTGAGTTATTCTAGATGTGTAAGAGCATCTCCAATCCTTCGCCAAATCTTCCATCAAATTTAAATTTGATGAAAATTTTGGTGAAAATGAGATCCAATTCTTTAATCAAACTTGTATCAAATTCACCAAATCCTCAAACCCAAAAAAAAAAAAAAAAAAAGGTTTTCACCAAATATTTCATCAAATCAAGTACGAATCAAATCTTTTCCCAAATTTCCAACAACCCTTTTTTCACGTAAGTTTGATGAAATTGTTAAAAGATGAAGAATTGGCGATGGGTTATTTTTCACATGAATTGGTTAAAGGAGCTTTTTAGCAATAGGTTAGGTATTTTTAAAAGTAGTTGATGAAACAAAATCGATTCTTTCCATTTGAGTGAGCTATATCAAATCAAGCTTTTAGTCTAAATTCCTCTAACAAATTTGATAATTTAAAAAAAGAAACAAAAAAGAAAAAGAAAAAGAAAAGAAAGTGTGAAGTAGCGAATGAGCAAGTGTTCCACTGGTAGTGTCCGTATCAAAACCCAGAATGTTTATATCGATGTCAATACAATACCATACACAAATGTATGTGTGTATATGAGATATATAGCTTAATTAGAACAGTGATGAAGTATTTCGATACAAACAAACACATTGATTGATAGGAAAAGGAATGGAATTGAGAGAGAGTGAGAGAGAGAGAGACCTCTTGATGGCTTTGACGAAATCGGCGGCGGAGGGTTGTCGCATGCGCTCCAAGAAGTCGTGCCAAGTCGACGAGCCAAACACGTCGGCGTTCTCCATCCTCCGCCCTCCAAATTCAGACTCTGAGCTTCCAACGATCCGATCAGGATCCGCGGAGATTGACGACAGAGCAAATTTTCAGTAGACTTTTGGAGACAGAATGGCAATTAAAGCTAGGGAAAATTAAGGGCATTCTTTAACAAAATAACTCTTAATTTAAAGGGTATGGCTTCTGTCCAGTCCGGGATCCGTCGGACTGGACCGTACTGTTGGGTTCGTGGGGCTTATTATGGGTCTTTTGATAATCTAAATCGTTAATGTGTAGAATTCGTCGAATATTATATGTTTGTAAAAAATTACATTGATCGGATATCGATAGCTATATGATCAAATCATTTCGTATTAAAAAAATTGGACGGTGAACAAATTAACGGTTGACAAAAAAGTGTTTTGATCACATAGCTATCGATATCCGATCAACGTGATTTTTTACAAATACATAGTACTCGACGAGTTCTACACATTAACGATTTAGATTATCAAAACGGGACCCGTGGTGGCCCCCACGGGCCCAACAACACGGTCCAGTCTGATCCCAGACTGGACAGAAGCCATACCCAAATTGAAAATAATGTTATATGTATCAATTAATAATTAATGTACCAATTGATGATGTGATATAATTTAAGAGATTTTTGATATTTGTAATGTAATTAATGAGTGAACTCAATAATAATGTCATAACTAGTATTGGTACATTAGTTAGTATACTGGCACCATCGCTAAATTTATACTCCCTTCTCTGAAAATATTAATTCTTATTCCATTTTTTATTGTGTCAAAATATTATTTATTTTTTAAAAATTAAATACAAAAACAATATAAATTTCTTATTTTATCTTTTTTTTTTAAATTCATTAACAACATAAAAAATATAATTAATATTCTTTAAAAAATGTACTATCAAAAGGTAATTTTGAAAAATTAATTTTTTTAAAGTTCAATAATTATACTATCAAAAAAAAGTTAGATTCCCCAGAATAAATCACTATTTTGAGACGGAGGAAGTAAAATTATTTAAGATTATATTAATAATTATAAATTCATAAAACAGTTTAGGAATTATTGATAACGTTTATATTTATAATTTTTTTTTTATATTTACAGAATTTTAAAAAATTATAAATAACAATTCGTTTGGTTTTTATTTTTATTTCAAAAAAATTGTAAACATTTTACAAAAAAATTAGTTTCATTTTTTGTTTAATTCCCCCCCACCTTTTTTTTTTCTTCTTTCACCTACTTTTTGTGAGGGCAAATTACAAACACCTCTCTCGAGATTTGGTAAAAATATAGATTTTCCCTTGAGGTTTGAGAAATTACAAATTGCTTCCTGATGGTCAAATTTTCATAACAAATTAAGGAAAATTAGGGGGGAATCTGTATGAAAATAAAAACCTCATGGGGCAATTTATTATGAAAATATAAAGCTCAGGGGACGGGATGTAATTTCTCAAACCTCAGAAGGAATCTGTATTTTCACTAAATCTCGAGGGGGTGTTTGTAATTTGCCCCTTTTTGTGATTATCACCCACTGCTCCGTCCCCATCTATTCCGTTCCAATCTTGATTTCATTTATTAAATATATTTTTATGCATATAATTTCTTTTTTTAACATAACGAAATTAAAATATTAAAATATTTTTCATTTTCACTCATTTATTTAACATATTATATGTGTTAACTCTCATTAATTATTAATTATTATCTATAATTTCATTAAATTTTTTTATTTTTGAATTTACAAAATTAATTCGTCTCCATCCCATTTTTGCCCCGCCCTCGATATGATATAAGGGGGAGCGGGAGTGTAGACACCCCATTTTTGACCGACCTTAAGACTCAGACGTCACTGATTGAGCGCTCAGTGATGGTGCATATTGTACTCGTTCAGAAGTTTCAGAGTCTCGGCTGCGAGCCTTGCCTCCGGACTTCTGGACTCTTTTGTGCTTTGTCTCGGTTTGCGAATCAGGCTCCGTTTTCTCTGTTTTCTCTTCCCGAAGGGAGGGAGAGGTCTCGTAGATCATCTCTCAGTGGCCGTAGGCTACGTTTTGTGGTCGTAGGCCGTTTTGCCCGTTTGGAGTCCGGTTTCCGGTTTTTTCGGAGCCGTTGGCCGTGTGCCTCGGTTCGGGACCGCTTAACCACCCCCGTTTGCTCCAGTTTTTGGCATGCATCTTATTTACTCCCTTTTGAGGGACACTGCGGCCCGAGAGAACAACATCGTGGTCGGACACCACTTCCGGTGCCTAACAGCCCACTTTCGGGGCCCCGAACTGCGTATTTTGGCTCCCGAACCTTCATTCTGCATTTTTGGGCTCCGACCCAAACTTGAGATAGTCATATTTTGAGGTCCTTTTCATGTTTGATTAAGGACCTTTTGCTGTTTGAGGTCTCCTCCTGTCACTTGCTTCTTTAACGCTCTTTTAGGCCTATTTTTGCACGGTATTTTAGGCTTACTTGTGAGCTGTTTCGGACTTGGTCATAAACTACAAAGTGTCTTGTTTTGAGCCCCTCTTCAACTTTATTGAAGGGCTCTCGGCCATTTGGATCCAGAAGCTATCACTTGTCTTTATATCCCACTTTTTGGCCTTTTTGGAGTGAAACTTGGATTGTTTTCCCTCCATTTTTTCCCTCCATTTCCCCCCCCCCCTTTCCCCCCCATTTTTGCCTATATATCAGCAGCTCCAGCTGCTGGTTTAGGGTTAACAAAAAATCCCTCTCAAGCCTTTGCATTATATCTCTCTCCATCTTTATCTCCAAGCTTCCATCCTTCAAACCCTACATCATTTTACACTATACCACCAAGCCCCACCCTCTCATCCTTCATTCCAGTAGCTGGAGGCTGTTCTTCAAAGCCTAAGGAGCCACAAACTCAAGCCAAGAAGCTACCAAAGACTTGTCTTCAAGGGTAAGTTCCATTTCTCCCTTTTTAGTCCATATCTTGTATCATTTCTTAGCCATACATGCTTGCTGTTTTGAGCTCCGACCTTAACTGGAACTAGACTTATTTTGAGCCCCTTTTCACTTTTGTTTAAGGGCCTCTCACTGTTTGAGGCCCCCTTGATGCACTTGCTTCATTATTCCTCCTGAATGCCATTATCTTGTGTAGTATTTTTGGCCTATGTATAATCTGTTTTGAGCTCTGTCATGAACTGAGAAGTAGCTTATTTTGAGCCCTTATTCAACATTGTTGAAGGGCTCATTGCTGTTTGAGGCTTTCATTCATCACTTGCCTTTATATCTCTCTCTTGGCTCCATTTTTGCATGATTTGTTAGCCTATTGTGCTTCTATTTTCGGGCGATTTTCAGAACTGAAAACAGTCTTATTTTGGCCCATTCTTCATGTTTAATTAAGGGTCTTTCATGGTTGGAGGCATCTTTTACATACTTTGTGTTATATCCCTCTTTTTGGCCTCATTTTGCATAGCATTTTGGATATATTTTCATACTGTTTTGGGTCCGACCATCAATTGTAAAAGATCATATTTTGGGCCCCTCTTCAACTTTGTTGAAGGGCCCTAATCTGTTTGGGGTCAGCAGCTGTGAGTTGTTTCTTTACCTCACATTTAGGGCCATTTTTGCATGCTAGTTTTGCCATATTTGTGCTTGCTGTTTGGCCATGCTTTGAACTGTAAAAATGCTTGTATTGGGGCTTCCTGGCTTCTGTCTTCATAATTCATGTTCAAATTATGCATGCATTGCATAGCTATAGGCCATTTCATGCGCCAAAATCCATGTTTCGGGGCTCGTTCCATGCATCGGGTTTCATTTTACCGGGTTTCGAGGCTGTTTCGCATCTCATTTTACCTCTGATTTTTGCATTATAGTGTGCCATATTCCATATCTTTGCCATGTCTCATTAGAGTGGTATTTCGGTGCCTGAGGGTCGGTCCTCAGTTTGCGTGCACGCGTGCACGCACTTCGAGTTGTCTCATTTTCATCTGATGGCCTCCTATGTGAGTGTGGCTGAGGCTCTCTCATGTTGGTGTAAGCCCATTATTGCATTGCGTATGCCATTGCCTCAGTAGTATTGTGTATGCTTGGTTGTATATTACCTCGTGCAGCGTGTATGCCATTCCATAACATTGTGTATGTTAGGATTGTATCTTAGTTGCATTTCATGCATGTCATGCATATTGCATCGTGTTCGGGATAGGAGTTAGCCTGGACACGGGAAAGGAGGTACGTTTCGTACTCCGAGTGACGGAACGTGTCTCAATTCCCCAGTCACCTGTGACACCCGGATTATCCATGATGGAGTTAGGTTTTAGTTGTGTTTTCATGGCATTCCTCTATATTGAATTGCGCAATTCGTACTCCTCGGGCCTCATGCATCGAGATGCGTGATTGGTGCACGAGGGATCGAGCATGCATACATTTGTGAATATAACATTGCCATGCCCTTTTCCCCTGCGCTCTCTGTTGCCAGCAAATCAAGAACCAGCGCGTCTTACCGGGGCTGGCGCGCTTTCAGAAATCATTGCAAAACAGAAGGCTAATATGGGCATCGCAGATAGATTTCAGCACAAGGCAGAACCCAAACATACATCATTCATACAGAGCCAAAGCAGTCCCCTGGCTTGCATGCCAGTTTATAGCTTTCCTAAGATGTAATTTTGTAAATTAATTAGGATTTTTGTATTTATTCGGGACTGTAATTATTTGGGACTGTATACTTATTTATATCGTCGGACGCCTCTTTGTGCCGAGGGCAATGTTGTAATATAGTTGCGTGAGTGTGATGTAGTTTCTGAACCCCACGTCTTTCTTCCCCTGTTTATTTAAACTGTTTATGATGGTTAGATTAGACATAATTTCAAATTAGCATACAGTAATTGATAGCATGTTTGCATTCATTCATCTGTTTGCATGCACCGGGCTCGGCTACATATCTAACTGTTATTGTACTTTCAATTCCAAATTGAGTACTTGTTGAGCTGTTGCACATCTCATATGCCATGTTTAGAATAGCCGAGCCTGTATAGTTGCATTTTTTGCATGTGTTGCATTAGCGCATTTCTGTATCATTTAGGATCATGCTGGATTTCTCTAATGAGTTTCTTTTTTGGCTTGGGAGTACTCGATGAGTTTTATGCTTTAGCATCCTTCGCATGCGTGTGA